TGGTTCACCATCATAATGGGCACCAACTCGGCTGCCTCCACTACCGTTTCGCACAGGGTTACCTCGCCATCTTCTAGGCCCTTTCCTTCTACAGGGACCAACTGCAGAGGTCCTCTCCGTACCTTTTTTTCTGACATTAGCCTACCCTTTCCCGACACTGCGGTCCTAGGAGGTAACTTTACATCTTCCTCCACCACTATGGTTATCTCTTCCTCGGGTGGGCATCCCAATGGCGTTTCTCGCCGTTCACCACCAACACAGTAGGATTAAACTCGATCTGGGCCTTCTGGCTCCGGGCCAATCTTCTCCCAAGATTGCCTCTGTACACAGGTCAGGGGTTACGTAAAAAGTTTTGGGTGCTTTTCACCCTCCCAATCCTCACCGGGAGCCTCACCATCCTTTTTATCTCCAGGGGGGCCCCATCTGCTTGCGTGATCTCTATGTCCGCTTCCCTTAACCTTCCTTCGTTTCACCCCGCCTGTATGTTTCCTCTCTCATCAATGACACAGATGCTCCTGTGTCCACCAAATCCCTCATCTCTCTACCACCTATCTCTGCTCTACAGGATAGTTCTCTCTCTTGCGTTAGCGAAGAGAACACCTGAGCTTTTCTTCTTCCTGGGTCCCCACCTTTGGGTTAACCCAGCCATAGGCGCCAGTAGTAATAAATCACCTTCATTTTTTTTCATGAGGTGGAGTTCTGCGCCCCCTGCACCTGGGCGACCCCGGCCGGACCTCTCCCGGTCTCCATGGCCGTTTCTGGAGAATACAGTTTCTTTTCAGGTGTCCTGGCCTCCTGCAAAACCAGCACCTTCTTGCTGGACAGCTTGCCGCAAAGTGGCCCGCCCGACCACATGTCCAACATTTTGCTCTTTCCCTTTTTTTCTCTGGGTTGGCCTTGTGTCTATCCTCGGGGGAACCGTCCTCTATTCAAGCGGTTCCCACCCACTGGTCCAAGTTTTTATTTCTCTCCTTTTTTAACTGGGCCACCCTCCCTCTTAATTCTGGGGTGGCCCGCTGTCTTTTCTTGGGCTCGGCCTTCTTTGTTAATATTGGTGGGGCACCCTTCCTCAGCCCGCACCACTTGGCCAGGTGTCCTTTTCTTACCACCTGGTGCATCTGTCCTGATTGAAGTCAGGGGCAACCCCCCCACTTCGTCGGACATTTCGCTGCCCTGTGGTCCTCGTACCCACAGGTCCAGCAGACCAGCCCGTATCGACCCGGCGTGGGCTTATAAAAGCCATGCCTGGTCGACCTTGCCCTTCTATTGGGGTCCTCCTCCCATAATTCTGCCCGATCCACCTCTTCCTTAACCCTCTGATTCCACACGGGGTTCTTCGCCTACCCCCCTTCTTCCAGCCTCTTGACTTGGTATCTGCTTCTTCCCACCTCTTCACTTTATCCCACCCCTGGCTCTCCCCGGCCAGCTCTATCGCTGCCGACAGTCCGAGCGGTCCTTCTTTCAGTACGTCGTGACGAACACGCTCGTCGCTCAGCGCCTCTACATACAGGTCCGCCAGTTGAGCCTGCATAACCGCATTATCCCTGACCACTTCGGGGAATGCCAATGACGATAGCTTCCCCGCTCGGCCCCCTAATTCTCCCCGGGGTTTCATCCCGCAGCTGTGTTAGTTTTAAAAGGGCCCTCATGGCCTCTATGGCCGTACCTTCGTCGGCGAATTCTTTGGTCAGTAGTCTTTTATTTCTTCCCAAGCCAAGCGGGTTGGTTCTCCACGAGCCCCTTACGAACTCAGACGCTTTTCCTTTGTGGCATCGTATGCCAAATACAGGGTTTCTTGGTCCGAAAGCTCGTAGATGGTTCGGCTCTTCTCGAGGATTGCCAGCCAGTTCCTAAACTCCTTCCCGCTGCCATCAAATACTGGGACCCTCGGTCCACCCAACAGCTTCCTTAGATCCACTGACAACCCCCGCCCTACTTCTTCTTCACCCCCACTGCTCTATCTGACTCATAATCTGACATGTCTACAGAGAAAGACAGTCTATACAGCAACAATCGAGGTTGGGAAACAAAATAAGGTGTCCTACCTTACAGACGATTCTGTTCTTTCTCTTCCTTTGGTCCCGGGTCGTTCTGAGTTCTGTCTGAATTTTCAGCAACGGTGGTCGATCGTGGTCTTCTCAGGGTTGAAATCCCTCGGTCACCACGGCACCACTTGTGACGTGGCTGTCTCAGGGTTGATCCTGGTCACGGCACCACTTGTGACGGTTACACACCTGGCCCAGTGTCGGATCCTTTGGTTACGGCGCCAACGGTGACGTCGCTCCTCCTGGGTCCAAGCGTGCCGCTCCAACCCTTTGGTCAGATGATCACCAGCCTCGCCTTTCCCGACTCGCTTCAATACCTGGTCACTAAAGCAACTATACCGATCTCCGGTCTGTCTACCCACGCTGTGTTTAGATCTTAGACAGACGGGACCAGCAGGGATCAGGGGCCGATACAAGTTGAGTCCGACGGGGTGGCAAAACACAAATAAAATAAAAACTCACGACACCAAACAAAATTGCTGATAAAAGGGTAACAACCTTTTTATATCTTAAAGTCCGTTACATAAAAACAAAATTGTTCTCAATTCCCGACCCGCTCTGTGGACTATGGCACCAAGCTTCTATCACACAATAGGAAAATGTCAATTACCTACTTTCTAGAATCATGTATGTATGTCGGGTGTGGTTCAGTTCGACACTGGGGCTAATTTCTATCGATCATTCGCAGTTGATTCTTCTCTCCGACTTGAGTTGTATTTCTTCTTCTTCTTCTACTTGGGCTGGAAGTTCTTCTTGTCTGAGGGTTCTTTTCTCGCTGCCGTCCGGGGATGAACTTTAACTTCTCATCGACTTTCGGCTTGTCTGCAGCTCCAATTCTTCTCAGGCTTTCAGGCAATCTTCTTCTTCATCTACTTGGGCTGGAAGTTCTTCTTGTCTGAGGGTTCTTTTCTCGCTGCCGTCCGGGGATGAACTGATTTTTTGTCGATTGGGGCCCTGCTTTTTATTGACGCCGCAACAAACTGGGGTGGGTCTGTCGGCGTCAGGGTTTTCTCGATAATTCAAAAACTGCATTAATTCTGTCTTCTCCATTATCGCTATTGTTTTCGCCCTACTTCCTCGCAGTACCTTTGGTGGGGGCGGCACATCCATCTCTCTTAGTCTCTCGTATGTCAGGTGACCGCTTTTCAACCAATCGTTCCTGATCGAGCATTTCTTTCCCTTTTCTTCCGCAGGTCACGTGATCGTATTCGACCAATTGTTATTGATCAAACATTTCTTTCCCTTTTCTTTTCTGCAGCCACGTGATCGTATTCGACCAATTGTTATTGATCGAACATCCTCTCCCCTCTGTTTGCGGGCGTGGTTACATCGTTCTTGTTTAAAAAAACAAAATCCAATTTTGCCTTTTTTGCACGTACGCAAAATGACAATCTTTGGCTTTCTCTCACCTGGACTTTGTTAAACAGCCCGCTGCTAATTAGTCTTGACTTTAGAAAGGATCTTTTCCGCCTTCTTGGCGCCCTCTGTGAGTCAAAAGCAATTGTCCCTCTTTTTTACCTCTTTGTTTTACCTGATAGTCGAAAATCTTAATTATCTACTTTGAAAATGTCTCCACTTTATTAACGTGGGTGTCCAATTCTTAACAGGATATCTGTATATCGTTCCACCGGTCCTCCCCCTCAACCCAAAGACACTTTTTCTCTGATTAAAAATTTCATTTCTATTGTTCTACAAAGAAATTTCCCTTTGTCCAATGAGTCTTTCCACGCAAAAGTAGGCCAAGTGCTCTGACCGACATTCTTACCAAAATGACTTTCGAAAATCGGCCAAGACGCTGACCTAAATCTCTTTCTGACTCCTATCTCCACCCTCAATTGGGTCATGCGTCATACATTTCTCTTTCTTTCTTTTTCTTCCCTTCCTTCCTTTTTCCTTTCTTTCCTTCTTCTTTCCTTAGGATCGTCTAGTACACTCTTAGTGAATTATTTTCAACTCAGTTATTTTCCGTTTTTAAAAAAAAATTAACAACCTGTTTAATAAACTGAGTAAGAAAAAATTAAATCATATTTCTAGGAATATTTCTAATAATGCAAGGTGCCACAATACGATTTAATATCAGTTATTCCCAAAGCTGCAGCTCCATGTGCAATGCATTCAGAATCCCCTTCAAATTATCTTTAAAACACTTCCTCGGCTTATGTTTATTTATTTAATATTATGTATGAATATAGTTGCTTGTATCTTTATGTGCATTTCTGCTTATCTATCTATCTATCTATCTATCTATCTATATATATATATATATATATATGTGTGTGTGTGTGTGTGTGTGTGTGTGTGTGTGTGTGTGTTTATCCATACTAATTCATTATTTAATATTATGTATGAATATATAGTTGCTTGTATCTTTATATGCATTTCTGTTTATCTATTTTATATATATATATATATGTGTGTGTGTGTGTTTATTCATACTCACTTATAGCATGTAAAGTTGCCGTTATGCTTCTATGCTTTTGTTTATTTGCATGAAGATATGGCTGTGACATGTGTAATGTATATCTGTGTGTGTGTGTTTTATGTATATGTTGTATGTTTACTTATAGGTCTTCTATGGGTTGCTGTAATAACTTATTTCTAAGATGTATCATGAGTTGTATTAGATCATTGCAAATGTTCATGTCAATTAGAAAAGTGTGGTTATATGCTTATGTTTTTTTATGTAGGTTTTAATTGTAACATGAGATATTTACATGTTCCTATGTTATTTTAGATATATGTTTTTTTTTATTATTATTTGTATGAAGATATGATTGTGTGGGAGAATAAAAATTAATTAATAAAATAATTAATAAACATAATAATTTTAAAAACTAAATAATTTCATTTTCCTATAATGCAAATGGAAACCAAAAAAAAGGGTTTCCGGTAACATGCAAAGTTTGTGACTCCACTTCCGGAAAGTTTGTGACTCCACTTCTATTGCCTGGATAGATTCGAATCATTGGATTCGGACAAGTTTTGCAGCGGTCCTAAGGAACTCTCTCTCTCTCTCTCTCTCTCTCTCTCTCTCTCTCTCTCTCTCTCTCTCTCTCTCTCTCTCAACGTCATGTTAACTTGAGGTCGACCACTCTCTTACCTCCGAGTTTACTACACACACGTGAGTCAATAAAGAATTGACCCATAATTTTTTGTGGTCCAACGACGTTACCATCTTCTGATCTTTTTCTTTGTATGTGCCATGTCCTTTTTCAGGGCGGAGCCGATCTCGACTCTCCACCTCCCTCTATCCCTTGCAGCTCTCAACAAATTACTTCCTTCTGCCACCTCCACCAGACCACGTTCTGTCATCCACTTGCTTAAGCCCACTAGGTATGTCATGCGTTGTTTTCCCTTCTTGTCTCTCTTTCCCTCTATTCGACCCGTGAGTATCAGATTCTCCAGGCCCTCCTACCTCATTATGTGTCCCAGAAACTTCAGCTGCCTCTTCTTGATGTTACGTATAAGCCTCTTCCTTGTTTGCATCCTAAGACCTCATCGTTGCTCACACACTCGGTCCATGATATCCTTAGCCTCCTCCTGTAGAAACACATCTCCGTCGCCTCGAGTCTCTTCTTCATTCGCTGCCGTAAAGAAGTGTAGTGGTATTGACGGCATAAATCAACCCACACATTTTTTTACTTTACGGATGTGTAAGAAAACAAAAGCAAACAAGAGAAAGAACACAAGAAAATAACTTTTCATAATAGGTACAATATTTATATTTATAAATGACAACAGTTTTACAATAATTATTAATATGAGTTACTACTCTTTGACTGGGCTAAAAAGGCTTTACTAATAAATAATTTTTTTACCTGAGCTCACAAAAAGCTGAATTGTCTTGTCGTTCAAAATGTTCACTGAAAGAGAGTTTAAAGAATCTTGTAAAGCTGAAAATATGTTGATAAACTTTTACCTTCAAAGAAGTTGGAGGAGTGAATGTTCCGTAATGTCTAATTTGTTTTCGTTGCTCGTAGTTGAAAGTATTGTTCGTAATTGTTTGTACTTAAGTTTAGTAAGATTCAATAACGTAATTGAATAGTTTTTACTAGTAAGTTGCAGAAGTTGGTGAGTGAGTTGTTTCGTTGATATTTTAGCTTGAATTACAGCGAAGTTATTTCGTGTTAAAGAACTTGAGATTATAACTTTGTACTTCGCTGCAGTAATGATACAAGCGTCGTGAACTCGCTTAGCAAATGCTAGTCGTCGTAAATTCTCACTGACTGGGTTGTCTCGTACCTTCAATTTAGATGGTTTTTAATCACGTGATAGGATCCTACTGGTTGAATAGAATTTTATTATAAACAATTGTCTTGTAAATGGAATTTTTAAAGCATTCTGAATGTAAAAATAAAGAAAAAAGTTTTGTTTTGCTTAAGACAATACAAAAGACTACCTGAGATAAAAAAATTTCTCAATGAATTGAAGGTTTTGGAAAATGTTTGAAATGTGATCCCATATTTAAAAGAAAACACACACACAAAACACACACACAAACACAAACAAACAAAAAACCAACCTGGGTTTTTATAACAATTATAACTCGATAACTCGATAACTCGATATAAATAAAAGTATAACTCGATATATTGTCCCCCTTTCATTAATGCCTCTTAATCGTGTTTTCAAAAATTGATTTCACCTCCCCAAAACAAAACATTTCTTTTTAAATTTTTTTGGCACTGTCCCGGAAAGAAAACAAAAATTTTACGTAATCCTGTGAATTTTTGTAGAAAATCAGGGTTGAAAAATGACGAAAATCGATCAATATAAACGCCCCCACACACACACACACACACACACACACTACATTGGAACGTTTTGCCGCTTAAGATATTAATAAAAAAAAAAAGGGCTAGAAAGGAATAAAAAAATTTTATAAATAATTTTTAAATATTTTGGTTTTTCCTCTTGTTAATAACATAAACTTTTTCACGATAAAACTTTGTTTTTATTAAGTTTGTTTTTTGGCGAATTATTGAAAATACCAACATTTATTAAACTATTTATTTATTTATAATTGTTTTATTTTATTATTATTAGCTTACAGCTAATAATGTTACATGTTGAAACATCGCACCGGTGCCTGTATGTTCATTGAAGTTAAGCACCGGAAAAGCCTAAAAAAAAAACCGCTTGGTAATACCAGCTAATGTAAGCTTGAGTTTGAGGATGGGACAGTGAATAATGGCTAGGAAATGTTAATCGGAGAGCCGAGTTCGAATTTCCGTTGAGTTCTGCGGGAAAATAAAATAATAAATAAAAATAAATAATAAACATAATAATTAAAAATATAAATAACCCACTAGTTGTACTTGTAGATATGTGATGTGTCTGTGTTTATGTAAATATTGAATGTATATTTGTAACTTGTGTGAAATAGCATTAAAATATAAAAGATAAAAGTAGAAAATTAAGATAATATATATAAGTAAGTTATATTGAGTGTTATGTACGCGTGTGTAATATTTTAGAATTGATTTTTATATTAATCCGATAGATTTTATCATTTTAAACGTTACAATCTTAAACTTTTTTGAAAAATATACTTAAAATTTTACTAATAGCTTCCGATAGGGAAAATATTCAAATTATTTTTGTGTGATATTTCAATTTATCTGTTCAACCAAATGTTTTGAATTTAAAATGTTTTTTCTTTTTTTTATTTCATTTCTTACTCACGGGAGACTACTGCAAATTAAATATGTGAGTTCTTTCCCATTGATCATAAATGCATTTTTCCCCTGCATTGTTTCAATGTTATTAAATGATGAAAATTGTGTATTGTAATTCTATTAGAAATAATTCCAAAATAAGCCCTCCAAGGTGATTGAATTTAATTGAATTTTTCCAAGTTTCCGTTTTGTTTGAAAGTAAAATCTTTATTTGACACCAGGACAAAAAGAACCGGACGCTTAATTCTTCAATATCCTAACTTTTATTCCGCGTAAACTTGTGTGGGGAGGGTGAACTACATTATAATTTTATTTAATAAGTTTTATTTTCGTAAAATCCGTCCAACACACGAAATGGACAAAAAAAGTAAAACATTTTTTTAAATTTTAATAATCCGATATTTTGCGTTTTTAAGATTATTTTGGAAAAATTTAAGTTGCCTCCCTTTGCACTAAAACAAATTTAAAATTTTTTTTTCGATTTAATGCGGCTTCTTGTATTTTGCGTTTGTTTTTTTTTTTTTTCTTTTTGTATTCTTTTCTTTCTTCTTCTTGTTATAAAATTAACTCAACGTTTTTTTATTTTTTACTCTTTCATCTCAAGTTTCATTTTTAATTCCTGATTAATATGACCATATTTGATTTAGTCATCGCTCATTTTAGAATAGCTTTAATTTAAGTACCTTAAATTCAAAATATTTACCACCTAACGTGTTAAAATCGGTGGTTTAGTGGTAGAATGCTCAATCTTGAAGATTTCATTTTCGATTTTATTGATGCAGTTCTTGATTAAATTCATTTTAGAAAAATATTATGATCATTTCAAATAAAGATTATAAAGATTTATAATTTAATTTTTCAATACGGATTTGACTATTTTTTTTACAAAAGCGGCCATTTTCATCTTTGAAATTTTTAAATAAAACAAATTTCAGTATTTTAAATTCTTCTTCCTTCTTCAAAATATATCATGTTTTCGGATTATAACAGCTTAAATGCCAGAATAGACATCAAATACAACGGACACAAACACACTTTTTTTGTTTTCTACTTCGAGATGTATAGTACAATTAAAAAATTTGTTTCTATTATCTAATTTTTTATAAACCTTTTATTTACCTTTCAAACACACCACGTGGAAATAAAAAAAATTAAAAACTATAACTTTTCCCTAAATTCTGTCAAATTTAAAGGACTAAAAAGAAGCCTAGGAAATTTTACTGTAAAAGGATAAATTGTTTTTGGATCCAATGAAAACCTTGCCTTCATGGAAATTAGCTGGTCCTCCGAGGAGAAAAAAAAAAAAATAAAACGAAATTATTTTAAAAATAAAATGGCAAAATTAAATTAATCAATCTTTTTTGTCTGAAATCACAGTAAAAAAAATTTGATTTCAGTTCATAATTACCTAAACTGAATGCTTACCAGTATATAATTTTCACCCATTATATTATCGGTAGAAAAGTCATCTTCCTTTTTTAAGACATTTCCTTTCAAGACAATATTTTAAAACTCGACGGACTTCTTAAATAAAGAATTTTATTTTTTCGAAACAAGCAATTGTTACAACTTCAATTGTTCAAATTTGATTTTAATTCCTTCTTCTGTTTTATTGAGCTACTCTGTTTTTATTAAAAACATACAGAAGGCGCTTATCTCCCCTTTTTGGAGATATTTCGATAAAGTAAGATTTAAAATGAATTTTAAAAAATCCTCCATACTTGAAGATTTCAATTTCGTTAATTTAAAGCAGCAAATAATTAAATTTGCTATGACCCAGGCTGAGCCTAAAATATTCTGGTTTATAAGAAAAAAAAATGATATATTTTAGACATTTGGGACGAAAAAAAATCTACAGAAAAAAATTAAAATATGCAATTTTCACATTTGGACATTTGGCAAAACAAATATTTGAAAAAGACGACGACATTTGGGCGAACGGTTTTTGCAGACGACATTTCAAAAAAAAGTGACAGTAAAAAGTAACAAGCAATACTTTTAATATTTTAATTAGCATTAATTATTAAATATGATTAACAAATTACCATATTTTTACCAGTGATTAAAATTACTAAATCTAAATTTTCCTTTTTTTCTTATTTCAATATTTGTTTATCAAAAATTAGTACTTTTTTAAATATTTCAGTCTATTTGGTTAAAAGTAGCACCTAATTATTTAAATACCGATTTTAACAGTAAAGATTGTTCAAATTTTATCCCTTTAAGATAATGATCATAAAAAGCGAAATTGCTCATCTTTGCGGACCCGGCATTCTTTAAAGTGCTGGTTTATTACGAAGTGGCCTTGTGCCAGACACCACACTAAACTACCGAGTCCACAAGCAATGTAAAAATAAATAAATAATCGTGAATGAACAATGAGAGGAAAGGGGTCAATCAACAA